ATATTTAAATTAGTTTGATGATCTGAAACATTTAAGTGTGACAAACATGCAAAAAAATAAGAAATCAGGAAGGGGGCAAACACTTTTTCACACAACTGTATATATATATTAGTGCCGGGCAACGTTTAAAATTTTGAATCGCATGATTTTTTTGCGATTAATCGCATTATGCGCAAAGTTCAATAATGAATTCAAAAGTAGTGTATTGTGCACTTTTATTTTAAAAGTACTGCTATATGAACAAAAGTGCAATAACATTTGGTTTGCAAACACTTTAAACAAATAAGGTTCTTTTTAACAGCAGTATTCCCTTTACACAGTAGCAGTTAAAATACAGTTATGATTCTGATCATAGATATTCAGCTGGTGTTCATAACTTTATCTTCATGTGTGTAAGAGATGCAATTTGAAATATACACCTTGAAAACTGCAAACCTATCTACGTCATGTTTTCATGTTTGTTAAATTCTTAGTAGCGATAACTAAATGATGCTTATTATACATATTCCAAACAAAACACTTTAAAAACTCGATTTTTTGCTTTTTTTTGGTATTTTGGTCAGACACATATGCAACGCTGATTACCGTAATATGTGTGGTATTTGTTATAAATGTACGTTGGTACATAGAGGGTGATAAGAAGCTGTACATGGAGGAACTTAGGACCCAGGGGAATGTAGGTGAAGGAAGAAGTCTGTACCATGGCAGTAACCTGCATGAGGAAGTTAAGCTAATAAAGAGTTGCAGTTAAGAGCAGTTTGCTTATGTGTTTATTTAAAAACACGACAATATGTATTTTGATATTGTCACATTTGATCCTGTAACGAGACGATCGCGCGTGTGTGTGTGAGAGAGAGACAGGAGGGACCGACGGTGACGGAGTGAAGGGGGGTTCCGGACCGGGCGTGTCACCCGGTGGGGGGGAGAGCGGCAGCAGAAGGAAGTGACGCCACACAAACACAGCTGTTCACCGCTCGCTGCCCGGTTTTTGTGTTAAAAATGTCCGCTTAATAATTTCAAAAGAAAACTGCGTTAACGCGCCATAATATAATTGTCAGCGTTAATTGATGAATGCTTTAACGCGATAATAACGCGTTAACTTGCCACATATATATACGTATATATATATATATATATATATATATATATATATACGTATATATAGGGGGAGGAAAGCGTCCGGTTTGGCGACATCAGAATTGCATTCCTGCTCTTTGCAGATGATGTGGTTCTATTTGCTCTTTCAGAACGTGACCTTCAGCACACACTGGGGCGGTTTGCAGCCGTGTGAAGCGGTCGGGATGAGAGTCAGTACCTCCAAGTCTGAGGCCATGGATCTCTGGAAAACAATGGACTGCACCCTCTGTGTTGGGAGCAGTGGTGGGCCGTCAGGGCCATCAAGTCTTTCTCTGCTGGCCTAGACAGAATCACAAAGTTATAGCTATTTTATAATCGAATTATTTTTCATAAATACACTACATAAATAATACTAAATATTTTTCCCCATCAGCTTATTTTCTCATTGCACAGCTACTGTCTTCCTCAGTTGCTCTGCTTCCAGTGCAGCTTGTTTTAAGTAGAGCTTTTATCCAATCAGATTTCACCCCTATGCTGTCTCTAAGTAAATAAATGAGCATGTCGTCTGCAGCAGAGGTCTTTACGAGCCACAGCTCATTGACTGAGGTTCACTTTAGCTGCTGGAGGCTGGATGTACCATTGTTACCACCACACTCCTCTTCACTTCCCATTTTGGTTCAGGTACAGGAACCAACACGATCAGCCCGCTCCAAAGGGCTATGAGCAACACAATTTCATGTAGCTAAAGCTCACTGAAGTAGGCCTAACCCTGTATATAATTATAGAGATGTATCATTCTCTTTAGGGCATACAGAACACATTTACATACAGGCCACTAATCTGCATTAAATAAGCAATCACAGAGCTCATAATATTTGTCCCTAATCAATTTACTTTCCCACTTATTTATATTTGTCACGTTCTATGAAAAAAGAATGTTTCTCCAGTTGGATCAACAAAGTCTCACTTTGTGGATCAGCAAGGATTTAGCCAGGGAAGAAGATACAGCCCTTTTTACTTTTCCTTCAGCAACACACCAAATACTCACAGAAGGATCAATAAAGTTGAATCTCATCTCTCATCTCTGCATGTGCAATAATGTGCCCATAAAACTCCCCTGAATGCTGTCTCTTTTGTAATAGAGCAATATGAATTCACACACCACCGGCACTGACAGGTTAAGTGTTACCTGTAGTTCCTGATGATTGGGTGGCTCTGTAATCCTGCTTATATTGGTGCCTGAAGAGGGAGTCGTCTATAAATAGCTCGATATGTTAATGCCGGTGTTCGCTGATAGAGATGGTCTGCCTCTGAAGTGAGGAGAGGCTGGGCTGGAAGTCTGGAGAGAACTTTAGAGAAACGAGTTATATTTCTGTCTGTAGCACCTCTCAGTGAAATGACCTGACATTGGCCTGTGGTATGTTTATTCCCCATACTGTGTCTGAAGAATACTGCATATAGTTTATTGCTGTGATGTTACTGTCTTATTGACACGTGTTTTCATGGGCACATCTTTTCGTAATCACAGAGATCAAAACTGACAAGTTATATATAATAAGGAACAATTAATCTATAAGGACTACGTTTCAGGGCTGTAACTGGAGTACGCAACTTACTTGACAAATAAATCAACGTTTACTTCTTGTTTCACATGGGGAATGAACAGAGGTCTTCCTGGCCAAAGATCACTGTTTGTTGAACCGAACCACCAACCCTCCCTCCCACTCTGTGATGGATTTCCCAGTAGATGTGCGTTTCCCCCAACCTGAACCTGAACCGGCCCTTGTTCCAGAGTCTCACTCTACTCGACGATGAAATATGCAGCTTGTGCAAAGAACTGGCATCCACTTGAAGTGAATGCAAGTGAACAGGGGAGAAGGAGTTCGACACCTAGTGGTTGAATGTCATTGAAAGCACCTTTAACTTAGGTGAAGTCACTTGTGTGGATAACCCAAGACATAACTCAGCAGTTTTTACATGCAGAGAGATAAGATTCATTTAATTGTCATAGTACTTTAATAAAATACTTGAGTAAAAAGGTGCGTAGTTACTTTATACCACTGTATTTATCCAGGCTGGTTTTATCCAACATTCATAGCAAAAGCTTCCAAAAAGAATGTGCTATAATTCATAGATATACAATGAAATAATTTAGTAAGTTATCTACGAAATGATGCATGAGGAAGTTTAAAGACCGCTAAAGCAAACGCAGGAGCGGAGGTGGATGTGTCCAACAAACAGTGAACATTTAAGCCAGGAGGCCGCTGTTCATTCCCCATGTGAGACCAGAAGTCAATGTTGATGTCCCTTCCGTGGTTATTTTTACGACAATCTTTTCCTAAATCTAACTGAGTGGTTTTGTCGCCTAAATCTAACTGAGTTTCATGTGAAGACGGAAGTTTATTTTGAAAAGACCTTATGCATGTCACCAGGCAGCAATCTCCGATTGTGCCGAGTGAAGCCGACGAGGAAGTGTCTTGAAACTTGCATTCTCTCTACTGACCAGCAGGGGGCGACTCCTCTGGTTGCAAAAAGAAGTCTGATTGTATGGTTGTCTATGAGAAAATGTTCACTTTATTAAAGTAACCAACCAGATTCTGCACAGTTTCAAACATTAAACATCAAACTTTAAAAACGTTCTCCTCTCTGCTGCTGTCAGTTGTCATTTCAGCTCAAAGCAGATGCGACCCTCCTCCACCCCAGTCACCTCCGGTCAGCATCACAGTCATGCTCCTCATTCATCATCAGATTGCAGCTACTCCCTACATCACCACCAGTGTCTGGACTCCAGGGGGATTAGGCCTTATCTGACCTCAGCATCACTACCTCTCGGTTATCCTACTTCAGGATGGAGTCCAATCGCCAAAGACTTTGCACTTTTCAAATTGTATGCATGTATAATAAATTATTGTTAAATTCTAATGAAGTCTCTCCTGATTGAACTGTGATTGACAGGTTGCTGCCGCTACCAGAGCCGTATATACGGCGTCTCTACGTCACTCCTCCGCCATCTAAATATGGTAACTTCTGTTCATTGGATGCAAAAAAAAACATGGCAACGGCAGTAATCCAAGATGGCGACAGCGAAATCACGGAACTCAAGGCTTCAAAAGGGCAGTGGCACCTGGTGTGGTCTTCTGCTGCTGTAGCCCGTCTGCTTCAAGGTTCCACGTGTTGTGCATTCAGAGATGGTGTTCTGCATACCTTGGTTATAACGAGTGGTTATTTGAGTTACTGTTGCCTTCCTATCATCTCCAACCACTCTGCCCATTCTCCTCTGATCTCTGACATCAACAAGCCACTTTCGTCGACACAACTGCCGCTCACTGGATATTTTTTCTTTTTCGGACCATTCTCTGTAAACCCTAGTGATGGTTGTGTGTGTAAATCCCAGTAGATCAGCAGTTTTTGAAATACTCAGACCAGCCTGTCTGGCACCAACAACCATGCCACGTTCAAAGTCTCCATTCTGATGCTCGGTTTGAACTTCAGCAAGTCGTCTTCACCACGTCTAGATGAACTAAATGCATTGAGTTGCTGCCATGTGATTGGCTGATTAGCTATTTGTGTAATTGAACAGGTGTGCCTAATAAAGTGGCCGGTGAGTATATATAATACAGTCAGCTGCTAGATTATAAGATTGTCTTATAATGTAAAAGGAAAATTGAAATTCATAGTGCATGGCCGTTAATAGCAAATGACTCAGACTCATTAGTACATAGAGTTTGATGATTAATTCCAAGTATGGCGCTGCCCAACTTCAATGTGAGCAGAGGTCTAACCATTTCACCTATCCAATGAATAAACTATTTATAGGCTAGCTAAGAAAATGACCTGAAACTGGAGGTATCAGAGACTCTAAATGACATAAGGGGCTTTACTTAGAGGTTTTCTTACTGATTGTGGGATCATGACACCATAAGGGTTTTAGGAACACCCCTATAGGACAAGCGGCACTAAATGGGAAAAGTCAGAGAAAGTGTGATCTACATAGCAGCAGCCTTAACAAACCATACTTTTAGCCCAGGCAGTACAACAAATTTAAAAAAAAAAGCAAAACAGACACTTGTCATGGATTTATACAATGTCAGTATGGATGCATAGAAGTAGCTTTTGATGTCGGCACAAACACTCCCTTAAAAGAAGTACAGTACAGCTTCTGAAGACTTCAGTGTTGTTTTTGGCACGCAGCGTCCAACTGAAAACGCTGGCACGACACAGAAAGGAGCTGATGAGCTGGAATCTGGGATGGCATCGGGTATTAAGGGCCGGCCCCGCATACAATAAGTGATATATTCGGAGTCCTAATTAAAAAGGTAGACACTTTTCAGCCGCATTCAAAAGCAGCGCGCCAGATCAAAGGCTTTAGCTAATTAGCACCGACACCTAATGTGCCCCCCCCCCCCTCAGTTTCATTATGAACGTGTCTAACATGAGCACCCGAACACTGCTTTTCATGCTCTTCAAAGAAGGGCCTTTTAACCCTTTGAGTGACACTCCTGTTTCTGTATTGACTGGCAACAATTATGTTTGTTGTCATTATCCTGTTGCTATGTTTCATGGATGTACCTGTAGGAAGCTAGCTAGCTATGTAGGAAAGGATGTGATAACTAACATTATTACACAATGACCAAAACCACAGAAATAACACCCAGAACCAGAATAATCATGTAATTACCGTAATTGCAGTTTTAAAACAATGGCAACATTAATTGCACGAATACCTTAATTAAATTAAAAGTGTTCAAAAAACGTTTAGTGTAGGAATTAAAACTAAATCTGCTTAGTGTTGCATTAATCATATTGATCCAACAGTTGTTTAAAGATCTATTTTGTCTCCTTTTACACGTTACACTTTTACACTCTTACTGCGCTAAACATCATTAGGAGAGAGGTTTCCAACTTTTCAAATTTGTTCATGCTTATTAAGAGACAAAATGCTTTTTTAGTAACTTTGGGGGGAAAAGAAAAAATCACATCAGGCACCCTTTAAGCATGAACTCCAAAGATTGAGTGGATTTAAGCACGAAAAGTCATTAGCTGAACTGATTAATGAAACTCTGTTAACTCTTATGATTACAATATCATCGAGAGGAAAAACACCAATTTACACTTGAAGTAATAAAACAAAACGTCAATGAGGAATGAAGAAGACATTGTCTCCTGTAAGCACGTTAGATATCCCCATCACATTAGTTTCCATGTGCAATCCTCTCGTGTCTCACCTCATAATTAACGGGCTTTCCCATGTATCTGTAAGAACGTCAAACCTCTTTACAATTTCATGAACTAGTAATGTATCGCATCATTCACAAATGACATTATTACATTTCCTGAGATGACAGAATACTTCTCTAAAACGCTGCCCGAACATCCATTAAACATAAATCCCATCTTTCTCCAACTGATGAAAATTTAAACAAGTCTTTTCGTGGCAGAGGAGAATCAGGAGAGTGCTATTGTTTCACTAGGATCTTTTGTCTCTGAAGGATTATTCCCTTTGAGTGATTCACAACTTATACATTAAAAATGTAAAAAATTACCAAAACTAATGTTTGTTAGTCTAAATGTGCAAACAAGCGCTGGGTATCCCCCCCGTCACAACTCTCAAATAAACACTTAGAACTGCTCAATATAAAGTTACTTGAGTGCCGGTAAACGTCACAGCTGTGGGTGATGCACATGTGAATGTTAACACCAGGATGACAGCGTCTCAGACAGCAGTGAATTTCGATCCAACGGATCCAGAGCTAAACGTCATGCTGGTCACCAGCGATGATGATGATGATGAGCCCTCCCCCTCCGGGGCCTCTGCTCCAATCAGGCCCTGGAGGTGCAAGTTGAGGATGGAGTCGGCGATGATGCGGGCGGTTTGCTTCTGGTACCCCCCAGACGTCACCATGAGTATGGGGATGCCCTGTCTCCTGGCGGCCCTGAACACGATCTCGTCTCTCTTTATGATGCCCTGGCAGAGAGGGACGAGAAGAGATCTGGTCGGTCAGTACGGGGCCTTGGGTGGTACAGTTGGGTCCATTTCAGTTTTTTCCCTGTCGTTTGATTTCATGCAAACTGGCTGAACCTGCATTTGTCATCGTTATGACGTGTGCTGGCAACTTAAAAAAGTAGACCACATCAGCAACCTGTGCCGATGTCACGGCTGTGCCATCATGGCGCTAAAGCCAGCTTGTTTTGTATTAGCAATAAGCAATTTGACAATGTCATTAACATAATATCATGTTTGTTTATATGAGGACTAATGGAGCCACTGGTGTCTGGTGCAGTTAATGCCGAGACGAGGCCCGCAACGTGAAGGAGATCAAATTTCAGTAGAGGTTGGCGGGGGGAGACGGCACACGTCGTGTTGGTTTACCAGAAGGTTCATGTCTTTATTTTGGGGCGACGACAACGACGGGTTTCCACCAGCCACTGCATTGCAAGGCCCGTAACCTTAATTACAAATCCTGCTATAACGAAGGCATCACCCACCCTACTCTGCCTCTGATTGGCTAGTACGTCCTTGGTTAGATTGGTTAGGTCCATTTGACTCTAAATGGACCATAATTTACTAAATGAACATCATGCTGTATTGAAGACTTGAAACTAGAGATTGAGACCATAAACTCATGTTTACAATGTTTACTGAGGTAATAAATCAAGAGAGGAGTAGAGTTATTTTCTCATAGACTTCTATACAACCAGAGGAGTCTCCCCCTGCTGGACATTAGAGAGAATGCAGGTTTAAGGCTCTTCCGCATTGGCTTCACTTTTCAGAACCGGTTGGTTAGATTAAGGCATTAGGGATTGGTTAGGGTTAGGTAGTCGCAATAGAGGGATTCGGAATATTGCGGCCCGTAACGTTAGTAAACTTGCGTGTCTTGCTTGCCACCTGCTGAAAAAGTGAACGGGGTTAGCCTCAATGTAAGCGACAACTTCAGCCCATGGTGGGCTGACCTTTAAGGTGGACCAGCCAGTCTCATTTTTTTGACAAGCTGCTCCACTTAGTTTGGTAATTTGGTTTACCTGTCCTGTGTTCGGCTTAATATCAAATCGTTATTAAAATGTTGACACCGGCCCGACCCTGTTGAATAGCACCAGTGACTTATCTGAATTGTGTCAGGCTGCTGTCAAATGCTTCTACCCTCGCTGCCCTCCTCCCCTGAGGAGAGAGGGGAGGCCTGTTCATACATCTCACCGCTCCACTGTGGAGCAGCAAACCTCTCAGGAAAGAAACACACATCCTTGTTTGTCTAGGGATTGAAAGTGGGAACAGCTTGTGTCCAAAATGTCATTGATTAGGGAGCAATTTGTAGCAAAATGACGGATTTCGAACATTATTCAGCATGACAGAAACACATGTTCAACAACAACTTTAAATAACAGTTACTTAACTGCAACAAGAGTTTTTTTTTTTGTTCTATTTCAGGCCATATACCAGCCCAAAATCCCAAATTAGCTCTGCAACACACATCAGCATACCATCCCCACTAACGCATTCTGCAGATCCGCCTTATTTGCTCCGATTATTCTCTGGAATTTGCGGGATCACTAGCAGGATATATCTGCACACAGGAAGTAATAAATCCACATTTGGCTCATGGGGATCTGCTCCCAGTATGCTTTCAGATTTCCTGACAAATCAGCTGCACAAACTGCTCACGTGACCCGACACAGCTGAGCCTGCCACCTCCACATTCAGACGTTTCTCCTGCCACCATCTATCTGCACTGCAGATAAAGAACTGTTTCGTCAACAGTTATCTTCTCAGGGGATTTCTTCCTCCCTTCATATCTGTATGTAATGACATCTAAATGCAACCAAATGTAATGGCAACCACATCTCCAGAAGAATGTTGTGAAGAAACTAGGGATGTCAATGATTAATGGATTATCGGTTAGTTGCGTCAATAATTTAACAGATTCAAAACATATGACCCTATAATGCAGAAGATGACCAACTGTAAAACAAACACAGCACCCTGCCATCCGGGGAAGAAAGAAGTCGTGGCGTGCCTCGCTCTGCTCGGTGAGGCCGTCCTGTTGACCAACTCCGAAGCATCAACTTGTTGTTTGGTGGCTGCGTGGTTCAGCTATCTGAGGGTCATGCTAATGCCAAACTGGACGTTATCCGCACAAACGTGGTGAACTGTGTGAGCGACACACCCCCCCCGGCTCCGAGTGCAGTGTAAAGTCGGATTTCCGACCAGCTGAGCAACTTTTTCCAGCAGCTGGGCTAACGTTAGCTAGGGTGAACTACACATCAGTCCATCATGTAGATCAGGTGTGCAGATTATTTTAGATAACACAGGTCAGACTGAAGTCTGTTGTCGGAAGATTGAAGTAACCTGTTTTGCACTCAATAACAATACAGGTTATTTACTGTTGAAGGATACAGCCATTTTGATTAAAAGTGAATTCAATGTCCGACTCGTGGTGTCCTCTAAGGAGGCTGGAAGTTGTGCAGCTGTTTGCTGCGTGTAACACTGCAGGACACAACTGTCATACTGTTGTTGAATAGCTCCGTGGCTTTAAATTAAGTCATTATATTGTGTTATTTAGTTTGCCATTCAAGTAACTTGGTGTTTACTCGATCTGTTCCAACTCCTAAAGGTGCTTACTCTGATGTTGCGCCCAACATGGGTCATGTCAGTGGTTCAAACTGTTTTCTAATGGTAATACATACAAATCAAATGTCTTTAGACTATCGGTGAAAGAAATTGCTCAGCTTTAACATTCTGGGTGAAGTGTACTGATGCAGCACCTGTGGTGATATGGAGAGTCCTCCGAGGGGGTCCCCATCTAAGATGTCCGTCCCCGCGTTGTAGACGATGATGTCGGGGCGGACCTCGTTCAGCGCCCCATCGGTGTGGAGCTCTACTTTCTGGAGGTACTCAGTGTCCTCTGTGCCCCAGTCCAGCTCCACCTTCCTCTTTATGGCTTCTGGAGGAACGGAGACATCACGAACACCCTCATAGGTAAGGCTAATAATATCTGCAAGATTTCATGCATCGGGCAGAGTAAAGGCTTACAAAGCAAATTTCTGCTTGGTGAATTCTTATGTAATGTTCAGGTAGGTAATTGTGTTTCTCTATCTATAGAACGGCCAGCTGTGTAAATCTGAAGCAACGCTTTACTTAATGAATGTGTATTTCAAATAATTAATGGCAAGTGATGAAAAAGGGTAATTAGGAGACCAAATGTTTTCAAATTCAAACAGTATTAAGCTGCAAAAGCGGGAAAGAGCAAAGCGATAGCATGTGAAAGAGATTTCTGGGTAATTTTTCCAAGAAAACTTGAAAGAGGAAAAAAAAAAAAAAAGTCCAACAAGTATAAGCTTTGGTCTTTGAAAGCACAAGGAAATAACTGTGTCTTGGAGAAAAAATATGGAGAATGGAGTTTTTTTTTTATCTTAAACAAGCCAGGATGTGTCACTTTATTGAGGGGTAGAGACGATTACAATATTCAATTAGTTGCAGAGCGACAGATAGCCGACGGACAGGGGAGAACTTTCTTAACTGTGACGTTTCGTCCCCCAGCTGTTAGAATTGGGACGCAATCGTAACATGTGGTTGCTGTCGGAACCACGGAATGTAGTGACAGATTAGTGTGCATAAAAGCCGTGATTATAGTGTTGTGTGGACTCCTGTGTGACAGATTTCCTGCTAAGTGCTAACAGAGCTAGGGGTAGTGCAGAGGGAAATCACAGCACAAGTAAAATATGGCACTGAGTGACATCCAGGGACCAGAACTGGAGGAGGGGGCCCCCTCCACTCCAACCTCATCCTCCAACCAGACATCAGGAGCAGTGTGGAGCAGAATACACATAACACATTAAGTACCCCAGAATGAAAAATATACATTTTTCCTCTTACCTGTAGTGCTATTCATCAGTCTAGATTGTGTTGGTGTGAGATATCTGACGTAGAGACGTCTGCCTTCTCTCTTAATATATGAGAACAAGATTGCTTTTGGCTTGTAGTGCTCAAGGCGCCAAAAAAGCAATGTCTCTTTCAAGAAACCATGACCCGGTTCCTTAAAATAATCCAAAGACCTTTTTGTGAGCAGTTTCCTGTACTGTAGGAACTATTCTTTCTACCGAACTACAGAAGGAAGCGTGCATCTACTCGTGGACGAGAATCTTAAACCTGCATTCTTGCTAAAGAAGTTTGGTTGTATAGAAGTCTATGAGAAAATGACTCTACTTCTCTCTTGATTTATTACCTCAGTAAACATTGTAAACATGAGTTTATGGTCTCAATCTCTAGTTTCAAGTCTTCTTCAATACAGCATGATGTTCATTTAGTGAATTATGGTCCATTTAGAGTCAAACAGACCATAAAGCAGGGTTTTGCTATTTGACAGGTCGCTGCCACTACCGGAGCTGTATACAGTGTTTCTGCAGCACTCATCCTCAGTCAAAATATGGGAACTTTCGTTCATTGGTTGCAAATAGCCAAGATGGCGACGGCCAAATCGCGCCAAACTTGAGGCTTCAAAACTGCAGTCCACAAACCAATGGGTGACGTCACTATGACTACATCCACCTCTTATACAGTCTATGCTTGTGACAGAGCGAGATGTATACATTGATGGCATCCTCCTCGGTCTAACTGTAATGTTAGCTAGCTCGCTTATGCTAGGTGAGCTAGCTGTATCGAGTACAGATACACGCTTCCTTCTGCGGAGTGATACCCTTGCCAGGTGTAGTAGGGTTGAAAGAAAATAGTTCCTACATGAAACTCCGTACAACACTGTCTGTGGATTATTTTGAGTAAACGGGTCGTAATTTCTGGAAAGAGACATTGCTGTTGAGTTTTTAAAAAGGCCTTTTTTGTCACTTTGAGCACCACAAGCCGTGTGTTCCTTTATATTGAGAAGGCAGACATCTCTACAGCAGATAGCTTCAACACTTGGCCACTCACACCAAAACTCTAGATTGATGAATAACACTACAGGTAAGAGGAAAAATATGTATTTTTGATATAGGGTGAACTTTCCTTTCAACCATATCAAATTTCTCGGAGTACAAAAGGTTACTCTTTTTTGGAACACAGAGGTTAAACAGCGACTATGAGAAAACACCTGATGGTGCGATCACTCACTTTTGGCATACCCGTCCCCAGGATATATGTAGCGATTATACACATCCATGATGTACACTCGCCCATCGTCCAAGAAATCGCGCTCGTGTCCGTTTCCCTGCGACAGAGTGTAAACACAAAACTCGTAAAAAAACAAAACAAAAGCACTTTGTGTATAACAGCAATGCAAGACATCTGACCTTGCAGGTGACATTACAAAATACTGCCATTGTGAAGGATTGGGCAATTAATTAAAAAGTATTCGAAACTCTAGCAGACCCAAGTTGGATTAATCTGTTTTTTTCCATTGCCCCTGCAATGTACCTAAAAGCACAACAACAAATCTACACCTGTAGGCATTAGACCACAAGCAGACCCAGTTTGCAGTGTGGGATCATTTCATTGAGTTTCAATGAAATGAAACTCATTCATCAAGTTCAGTGAGCATGGTTGCACCTGACATTTTTATGCAGTCTTTGCCTTTGTGTCAATCTTCGTTGAAGAAACTGAGGTACTTGATGTGTGGCAAAGGCCTCTTTTCTTCTCACGGGCTATGTATTGGATGCAATCCTGACCAGGCGGCATCCTGCGGTTCTGAAAAGTGAAGCCAATGGGGAAAGTGCCATAAACTTGCATTCTCTCTAATGGCTATCAGGGGCGACTCCTCTGGTTGCAAAAATAAGTCTGATTGTATAGAAGTCTATGAGAAAATTACCCTTTTTCCTCACTTGACTTATTACCTCGGTAAACATTGTAAACATGAGTTTATGGTCTCAATCTCTAGTTTCAAGTCTTCTTCAATACAGCATGATGTTCATTTAGTAAATGATGGTCCATTTAGAGTCAAATAGACCATAAAGCAGGGTATGCTTTAGGGCGGGGCTACCTTGCTACCTTGGGTTACCTTGTGATTGACAGTTTGCTACCACAGCGTTTTTCGGTCTGGGAGTCGTCCACATTTTCAACTTGGAACTTTAACCCTTTCGCAGTGTGTTTTCACTTGACAAAAGTTAATTGTAACATTTTGGTTGCCTAAAAATGTTTTATTCAGCATTCTGTTCCGACAGGTTGCTTACAGAGCCGTATGCAGCGTCTCTATGTTACTCCTTTGTAGTCCAAATATGGTAACTTCCGTTCCCTTGTAACAAAAAAAAAAAAAAAAAAAAAAAAAGAGGGTGACGGCCAAAGTCCAAGATACACTGCCACTTAAAGATAATTAATTCATTTATAGAGGAATTTGACGGAATTTGACACAATAATTTCATTATTGTGAAAAATCTGACTTTGTGACAGCCTTAGTTTCCCAACCTATATTGTTTTCCTAACCTCATGTCAATTAATGTGCTTGGACATTATGTGTAAATACATGCGTTTACACTACATGCCAACACGTTACCTTGGACTCTCTTCACAGCCAATGCTTTCTTCTTCTTTCAGGGCTCCAAACTAACTTTTTCACTTGTTGCACTGGAGCTCCAAACTTTCTAAGCACATGATTTGGTCGCAACCTTTTTTTTGGTACAGCATGGTATTGGCCCTCTCCGTCTGCACTATCATCATCAGTGGCGTCCCGAGTTGGAACCCCTCGTTGTCTCTCCCTCCCCACCATCCTCCTCATCTCTCTCTGCATAATGCTTTTTTGTAATAATCCGTTATCGATTAGTTTCAAACCCCACAAACAAGGCGTACGCACCTTATCCTAGCGCACAGAATAGTGTCCACGAGGGTCCACCTCTTAATCTTTTGTTTTATTTCATTTTGTTTTGTTCCTTTCTCTTTTACTAATCCACACACACACACACACACACACACACACACACACACACACAGCTTTGAGCTAATGTAGCTATGTGCTAAACGGCTACCGGCACTAGACGCCGGGTCTCCTGTTGGCTATCCGCCATTTTGAGTCCGCGCATGAGAGACGTCACCACGTCCCAACTACGTCATACGTCGCTGAGCTGTTCCCTCGCTCCTCCTCCTCCTCCTCCTCCTCACACACACACACACACACACACACACACACACCTTTCAATCGTCTGTTGATTTTAGATAGCGTGCTCATAAATGTATAGTTGTTGTTAGTTTAGATATTAGTTGACTAGATCATTAGTATTAGAACGTAATAAACTATGTTATATATTAAAGAGCAGCTGTCTGTGATTACTTTGTGCATGTGTATTGCGATGATAGCTGTATATGTGGTCTGTGCTCGAACTTAAACCTTTACTTTCACTCTGAATGTGTCATAGTACTCAGGCTGTTGACATTGTGAGTGAACACTAATTATGAGACTTAGTTTATCGTTTGGTTATTGGTCTCTGTTCGCAGGGTGGTGCCCCGTTATTATTAATAATCATTAATAATTGTTACTGACATTAATAATTCTATTGATGTCAAGAATTTAGTTTCTTAGATGCTGATAACCCAAACACGCTCCTTTACGTTCCCAACATATTGGTGCCCCCTTTTTGAGGCTATGCTATTCCCAACAAATGATAATGATCATCATCGTGAACTATTATTTGGATATGGTATGGAGCCCTGTCTTCACTGGGCTCTGCAGGTCATTCCTAACAAATAAAGTGTATGTTTACAGATTGAATGCATAAATACTAAGCTAACTTTATGTGGCAGAGAGATATAAACAGCAGTATTTACCTGAAGTAAACATCAGGGATTGCCATATTTTCTCCCTTGCTTTGGATTGGATTCTGAATTGTTGCCATTGGACTGCTTAACCCAAGTACATAGTAAAACCAAGACACCAGTATGTCTCTAGTCCATATAACGGGTATAGACCACTGTGGGTATTGTGTTTGGTTTTAGTGTACTGCATGGATGAACCAACAAATTCATATTGCACTGACGGCTCGTACCGGCTTACTTGAGACAATGACTAAATCAACACGCTCTGCTCTGCTCCACTTCTAAAAGACAGCCTGAGACTATAAATCAGCTCATATGCTGCCTGAGCTCCTGCTGCATGAAGTCTTATTAGTCGTATCCTCTTCCTCACATATTGTACAATGAAAGATTGCTGTTTCACTGCCATTTGTTAGTGTCAGCCAAAAGCCTTCAATGCTGGCTTCAAACAGGCCTTTCCCTCATTCCTTTACCAAGTTCTAACATACGTAGGCTATTAAATGTTAGAACCATCCATCACTACTTAACAAGAGAAAATAAAAAGGGCAGGAGGACTGGAGCATACCAAAAACATGGACCATTTTCTTTTTCATCCAAGAACAACAGAAAGGATGTTGTTTGTGCTAAACATCCATTACCAGTTGACCAACGAGTGATGATCAACAGCTACAGTTTCTTCTAGATTCTTCACGTATAGAACATTTATGTCAATGTATTACCACAACTACTTCTCTTACACAGAGACATATATGCTAACAGATGAGTGGAAAAAAAAAAAACATTCATAGCTGCTGTTTTTAATTTTAGGATCACTTTTCAAACTGTAGCTTTTTTATTTGTTAGACTGGATTTCAACAGCCAGAAGTGTTCATGTATGCTTAAGTACGATTAAGTCTGCTCCAACAACATCTAAAGGGTGCACAAGACTGGATTGTTCAGGCCTGACCTGAGCCAGGTGGCTTGTCCTCTGGCCCCCTCTACTTAGCCTTCTCTGCCTTGTGTCCCACGTTTTTACAGATGTTCTTCTTCTGCTCTCCTCTAATGCAGAGTATCTTCAGCTCCCTGCACAGGGATTGTCCGGGAAACCTGGTGAACCCATCCACCAGAGGTTGGTCCGTACGGGACCATAAGCTCCAGCATAAAGATGATCCTTGTCGCTCTGGATCATACTAGCAGGTCTGGCCTCAGAGTTGTACGGACAATATTCTGGGCGAGACATGCGTGAGGTCAGCTCTTACTGTGCAGTCTTTAGCCGTTCCCAGCAAGCCTGTACATGAGTGGGAGGCTTTCTCCCCAGTCCTGACAAAGTTAATGAGCTTCTTTCTTTGTTGGATCTTCTTGCATTTCTGTGCACCGTATTACAGAAATTACACCAGCGTTGTTAGAACCGTGCTATGGTTACAGTGGTACCTCCCATTTGTCAGTGCCGTCCTGCAAGAAAACAGAATAAAGTATGCTCCAGGTTTCCACATTGCTTGCAGCCCCGTTCCTCCTTCTGCCCCCAGGTGAGAAGATTTGTGGGTCTTGGAAAGACGTCATAGATGCTGTGAAGAAGGAATCTTGTTCTGCTAGTCATCACTAGTGAAGTGATCTTACTTTCTTTCCCACTGTGTCCATTTCCCTCGCTGCCTCATTCTAACTGCCTTCACCAGTTTCCCTCCTCGACCATGTGTTGGATTTCTGACTGCATCAACTCCCTCCTCTCCCTTGGTTTGGCCTGTTCCTCAGCTTGGCTGCTGAATGCATCCGACTTCCAATTGTCCAGTCGTTACAGCCACCACAATGTCCTTGTGGTGCAACCTGGACTCTCAAACTGCTGTCTTGGCTGAACATTTCCATCCCGTGCAGACCTCTATTCCAGCAGTGTTGACCTTGACATCCATGTAGTAGCACTTGTCTTGCTTTGGTTACCTTAAATTCCTCGACTGACCCCCCCAATCAGGAGTTGGAGCTTGGTTCCTGAGCTATATGTCAATGCCATTGAAGCTTTTTGGGACCCATTGCCCATCTTCTCAGGTACCCACTGATGTTCCTCTCCATTGCCTCCACTGTTGTCATGCGAGACTCTTGGCAAAAAAACCTGTTGGTATACCCAGGTTTTGCATTTCCCCGGTAGCCTGCTTTTGTTCACCCTTTACATTCAGTCAGTCAATCTCTGCCAGTTCCAGTCGTCAAACCACTTCACTGGTTCATCCGATAATGTTGGGGTATCCTCTCCTCCTCCTTATTTATATCCTTGACAGAGGGCTCTATTTCCGTGTTGGCAAACTGGTGTTCTCTCAAGGCGCACTGAGGCTATTTCCTCGCCTGTGTTGTTTTGGTATCATGGTAACTCTTCAACCAGCTGACATTCGATCACACAGTAAAATGTTGTATTCTCATGATGGCATTAATGCCAGTGAAATAGAATAAAAATGATGTTTGATCATGATTTTTTCCCCAGCCCTGTCATCCAAGACAGTGAGTAGAATACACTGAATGACTTTCTTTAAAAAGGAAATTTAGCACCTTTTATGTCAACGTCCAATCAGTGCTGGTGGTAAATGTAGTCAATTTAAGCTTAATTTCTCACTGCATGCTATATTGACAGAAAAAGCGAAGTTCTCTAAGGTAAGGTGTGAGTGCAAGTAAGGTGTTGTTTCACTGCAAGCCTCCAAAAAACAGCTTCAGTGCTTTTTAGCATGGATTCTCCAGGTCTCCAAAAAAAGATATTCCCTCATTTGGTGTTTTCATGATAGTGGAGGAGAGCGTTATCCCTCCAAGTCCAGACATAAATTTGCACGGTTTGAAAAAACAACCCCATTTCTTTCAATGGGACCACAACCGGGGTTCAGACTCAGAGAACACCTGCTGAGGTGAAAAGGGTGAACTTAACTTAACTTTCACCACAACACAACGCAACATCCCCTGGTAATGAGCTGCTTTGCATTCAAGTATGTACGGGGACACATTCCTTCAATATTACTCTGACACATGAGTAAAGTAACTGAGTTTACCTTGTGATAATTGAGATGGAGGATGAAGGATTTCACCTGGTTATTTTGGTGTCTGATAAGACTTCAAACTCATGGACCTATCTATGAACCATTCAATATCATATTTCATTGGCTCTCTGTGCCTAAAGCTACACGCCACCACCGATGCAGTGCTACACTATTTTCTGTAAAACTTCAAACATTTCAGTAAGCCATTATTGTTATGATTCTCCACTGATTATTCAGCCATACAGCAACTGGACAGAATTTTAGAGACACTTTTCTACCACCCTAGAATGTGCCACAGAAGTGAGTCCATACACAAACAGTTAGTAGTATTGGTATGCGTGTTGTTCCCCCAGTGTCGATGGAAAGGTCAACTATCACTGTTTGCCTATATTTAGGTGAAGAGTAACATTTTTTGTCACGGTGGATGTAAAAATGTATTTGACTCATAAAATCATCCTCTGGGTGCCTTATCCCACTCTCACTGTATACACTGCTCACAACAGACAGACAGAGAGAGATATGCCTTCACAGCAGGGATCCAGCCTAGCTTGTCATAAATTGAACCAAAAAATGGATCATTATTGTTTTGTTGCTGACTGGGTAAAAAAGCAACACAGCTGTCTCGGCCTTAATCTTAATTCACATGAGGGCAAGAGAACTTTAAGTGTTATGTTTCGGGGCCGTAATTAGGATTTTACTGCATATCCCCAATATTTCTCTCGTTCACAATTATCTGCTGAGAGGGGCACTTCAAGCCCATCTCTATGCAGATTTGCTCTTCATGAATTATTTACTCCGCATCTGTATTGATGCCCTGCTTGTGTCAATAGGTAAAGGTGCATCATTACCAATGAGTCATAGCCCCAAAGGAATAGAGCTGTATACCTGGAATACAGACATTGACCTCGGGAAACTTGAGACTTCATCAATGGACATGAGTATCCCGGTTATGAAGCTTATCCCAGTTTAGCTGTGCTGCAGTACCACAGGCCTTCTGCTAATGCAACCCATTTATAATGTACAGTTGCCGTTGGACGGAATTTACGTTTCATCTTTAGTCCAGGCCACGAAAAAAATACAAATGATTGGCTTGAATGGCAATACCTGAGAATTGATTCTCAAATGAACAGACAACTGTAACTGAAACAGAAGTTACAACCCTCAGCATAGCTCTAAGTAAATCATCTGAGTTGTTGAGAAAGTCATAGAGTACAGTTTCCCCAGTCAATACAGCATGGCCCAAATTACTTAATTCAAGCCAAGGAATGGACAAAGATGACATTTTAAGATCCTCAACCGGTAGCATAATGGGTGATATGCTTTTTTTTTGTATTTATAGTTCAGAAAGAATCTCAAACAGCTCAGATTTCTGAACAGGGAATTTATAAACACATCTTTTCTTAATTAAAGTCAATGGGAGACAGTCACATTGGTCAATAGGACTGTGTCCAACTATAAATCCCTGCATACCGAATGATGATCAAATGTGATGGATCTACAGGACATATCGAACAATGAATTAAATAGCAAAAGTGGTACTGCAGCCTAGGGCTGCACAATTAATCAAATTTTAATCGCGATCACGATTTTGGCTGCCACAATTAAATGAGCATGATCGTCAGCGATATTGACGTTTAAAATGCGTGGTCAGCTACATATCAAATCAAGCGCGTCCTCAACTAACAGTCAGCCGACCACCAGGGGGCAAACGAGATGGGAGGTGTCATGCGCGCACCCTGCAGCGGCAGCCTCAAAAAAAGTTCTGTCTGCAGTCGACTCCGGTATTAGTAGAAGAGAGACAGACAACAGAACAGAGAGCAGACGGTCATTTATATTTTGCTTCAGGTGAATAAGAACCGTATAAGTTTTATTTTGATGCAAAGACGTGTACATTAGCTGGAATGTAGCACAACATGGAAGTGAAAGCAGTGCTCTGCTGATTTAATTTTGGGTAAAAAGTGTTGATACTATTTTATTTATATTTTCCTTCTACGAGATGCACTGTGATAAGGACCAGTCTGATGCAAAGATTTGTACATTAGCCAGAATGTAGCACAACAATGGAAGTGGAAGCAGTGTTCTTGTTCATTTAAATGTGAAAGTGCAATAAAAAGATGTCCCTAAAATAAATGAATAATCGCGATAAATAATCGTGATTATGATTTTGGCCATAATCGTGCAGCCCTACTGCAGCCCCTTTTTCAAAAACACATCACAGTGTAAACAAGCCCAAACTTACAAGTAGCTGCCATTACTGCAGATATCCCAGTGATAGTCCAATATTACCCAAACCTGGCCTGCACTCAGCGGTTTGCCAGTGGAGATCTTTTCAGATACATTCCACTGAATATGACAGTAAGGGCCAATTTGGCACACGGGGGAGCTTCATTGATTGGCATTGTGGTAACAAGGGGTGGGAGTGGGGGTATTTGGTCATCAATGTCAGCTCCTAAGCAGCGATGCACATTGGTTGACACAGCGAGAGAGAGGCGATGGTATCGGCTCACCTGATGGGCATCCAGATCGATGATGGTAGCCCTGGAGATGCCTTCCACTCTCTCGAACAGAAACTGAAAGACAGACGGGAAAATGTCTGCTTTCTCTCTGAAGAGGACACACTCAGTTTGGATTCTTTCAAAGGGATTCCAGAGTAAACCCCACTTTAGATATTAATTACATTTGAGTAGAAGTGCAGAAATGTCCACAATAACCTGGTTAAGCTCATATCAAGCCTTTGGTTAGCGGTCTTACTCTGACTTTTATTGAACGGAACCTCTTCAATAGGTACATTTAAACACTCCTTTCTTTTTTGTCTGCTTTAACTCGAACGTGCAAAGCATGATGTCCATCAGCTGCAGGATTTTGAACATTAATACAAAAAGAAGAAAGCCAAATTGTGTAACGTTGGCTGAACAGCAGCCACTGTGGCAATTCTAGGATAAGTGAGACCAGGAACAGCGCTGGACTGTGTGGCAATTTTGACCAAAGTCACAATCATGTCACACCCACCGGCCCAAAAATATTTATATACCATCATCAAGGATACAGCTGTAAAATGTATTGTTTCTTTTACTTACTTAGATGTATTTTGCCGTGCATAAAATATAGACTATTACCACTTTTAAGTCTCACATTTGTATCAGTCAATTATGTTTGTGCCATTCATGTGTGTGGGGACTTCGCTTAGTTAATCATGTCTGTAATGACGATGCTTTATGGGCCCAAAATCATGGAAGGTTAAGCAAACCTGTAAGCTTTTTTGCCGCATGCACCCGGTGACCAACATTCAGGAGTGAATGTGACATCATCTTGGAACAGGGTTTACACAACAGTACAGTTACTATTAATATAATATTACTATTAATACTCCCATTGGATGTTTTTTTGCAGTTTGCTGCCTTTTAATTGTTATTGTTGCTAGGCAATCACTGAATGAGTTTTAACGTTAGTTTCACACAAACCATGAACCGTAAGTTTCCTAGTAGTTAACGGCTCGGTTTTAATGAATGAATGAATTTACCTCCTGGCTGTCTGCTGTTCAGATCATGTTAATTACGGTTGATAAAGTCATGTTGCTCCGGGTGTCCAGCCAGAGTTACCACCTTGAGAACAAAAAACGCTAATGACGTCGGGCACTTTCCCACTCCGAGTGTAACTCGAGGTGTTCCGGTCGCTCCTGTGAAAAATGTGAGGCGCGTACAGTGGGGAAATAAATTACAAAAAGCCGCCCCAGGCGCCTCAGATGCCGATTAGTATAATGTGAAGCTATCCTTTAAGTTTGCTAACGTTAGCTACCATTACCCACCATAAGCTACGGGTCATACCAGACCAAGTAAGGCTGTAGCAGCAGAACTCTATTAAATGTATCTTTTTCATTCGTAAGAGGAAGACTGTTATTTCTTCTTTCAACAGTAACGTGGTCTCGCTTTAATCAAATAAGACCTCTAATCAAACGCTTAGCCACTAGCCGGTGTTTGAATGAATGTTTCCAATGAACAAACACCATGCCCGGTCGGGCTTCAGCCTTACCTTGATGGCCAGAGTGATGTCGGCGTAGGCGCAAAAGCCCCCTCCGCTGTCGCTGGAGCAGTGGTGGAAGCCTCCTCCTGGGAAACAGGAAATCCACCGGCTCAATGTCAGGGGCATTAGACGAGCCGAGCAGGTCACTGCACATCTAAAGGAGTCTACTATTCCAAAACGACCGTAATTGGTCCCGGGGCTGTTATTGAGTATATTGCGGCTCATGAAAATTGGCGCTGTTCCCCTGTGGTACCACAATGGGTGTATTCACACCAGAACGTGACCCCTCAAACGCGACTAAAATGCTTGAAGAGCGGCAATGTTCAGAGCAGGGATGAGAAAAAAAGAGACTGAAGAGACTTTTTTAAAATTGGGATGATAACCATTCATTCAGGTTAAAAGTTATACTCCCCTCTGCCCTGCTGTGCTCGTGTTCATTAAACCGGAGAAAAGAGAAGAATATTAATGAAGGCCAGGAAGGTGACGGGTGAAGTATGATTACCATTCATTGGCTGGCCTCCATGAACAGCCTCAACCTCCACGTCCTCGTAGTGTTGAGGCACACAATATGCAGATGTCAGACACATTTGAATAGCCTTTATATATCTTCATAGTTTATTGGTGCAGAACAATCCCCCCCCCCATTCATCAACAGAAGGTGCAAAGAAGCTGAGTAAGGAGGAGGTGCAAAGTACAAGTCTGATGCAGCTTTTCCTTTTGTTCCCCTGCTTAGCACAAATAATAAAAGGATGATACTTGATCAACCCGGCCTCTGATGGCAGGGGAAATGTGTTGGAACCGTTCTCAAACTCTAAAAAGACGTTCAGTGATGTAGTGGGATCTGGATGAAAAAGGTTGCAGCCTTGCGTCAGACTTTTAAAATGGCAGCAATTACATTCCATCACAAAGATATTTGGCAAAAAAGTTGTAGGATGCAAATGTACTCTGACAGGAACATTGGACGTGTATCGGTCCAGTTTATATATTAAGCGTATCTGTACAGAAACTCACTTACCGACATTTATAGCCCATCCTCGATCGACAGCCAGTTTTGCTGCCTGTGGAACACGAAATATTTCAGTTAAATTCTCAAAATCAACATAGACAGATGGATAAAGATGACTCTTTCTGACTGAAACAGAATATCAATTTATCAAAGAAAATGACCTTTTCCAAATTAACCACAAAATGCAGCGACAATCATTAAGTGGCTTTTGCGCTCACGAGAAATAAATCGTGTTTACTGAAGGCCAACAAAAAAAAACCTCTCTCTTTATGAAATTATAAGCATGTCTCAAGGTGATGCATTGAAAATGCTGCTTTTCAGTGCAGGGCACCGATCCCGATAGAAGACTTCTAATTCTGTTTGTGTTTACCACAGCGTCTGTTTTTCTGCCCTCCAACCATGAAGGTATACAGAGATTCTAAATCTGCATACAGAGAACCGGAGACGTACGAGTGCTCGTATCCCAGTTATCAGTTTTCTGATTGGAAGGCATCGTTAATATCATGAGTAACATTAAAGCTGCCGTTTGATGTGTCCTGATGGGAGAGGACCAAATGGCCTACATGATGGATTTTAAACAGAGTTTAGCAGTCAAATTAGTCAATCACAGTCAGTTTGTTCCATCTCTGCCCTACGGCCGCTAAATCACTTGTTACTATGGTGAGTTGGCTAAAGCTCACTTCTCAATAACACAAAGGCTGTGACTCCTATCGCAGGGCTTGAAATACCACATGCATACGCGCCGTGGTGCACGTAAAAAATACTCGTACGCATCGACCGTGAGATTCACGCAATTTCACAACACAAATTTACAACTGATAACATCGCGTCATGAAAACACTGATAATATGTAACACAATGAAAATGTCCTCATTTTCAAACTCATTAATTCTTCTTCTGAGGTTGAAATTTGAAAATTGATTGCATACAGGGAAGCGACAGTTTCAAGGGCCCTTCATCTGATTTCATGATCAATTAGTCGATCATAAAGTCAAATAATATTCATCGCTCTGCCAGTGCCATGTTCTTATGCGAGTGCTCTGGTAACAGTAGCCTAATGTTGTTATTTAGCCTTCCTAAGGACAAGATGCTGGTGAAACTTGCATTCTCTCTACCGGCCAAGTTTATGAGAAAATGACTCTACTTCTCTCTTGATTTATTACTCAGTAAACATTGTAATCATGAGTTTATGGTCTCAATCTCTAGTTTTAAGTCTTCTTCAATACAGCATGATGTTCATTTAGTACATGATGGTCCATTTAGAGTCAAGTAGACCATAAAGCAGGGTATGCTTTAGGGCGGGGCTACACAGTGATTGACAGGCCACGGCATTGTCCGGTCTTGGAGTTGTCCACATTTTCCCCTTAGAACTTTAACCCTTTCACAATGTGATTGTAACATTTTGGATGCCTAAAAATGCAGCGTTCTGTTCCACCCGCTCGCGTTACTTAAGGTTCCAAAAAAACAAGACTAATAGGTGACGTCACGGTGACTACGTCCACTTCTTATATACAGTCTATGGTCTAATATTGGCAGTTAACTCAGCAAGTTAGATTGAATCGTCGACCATTCTGGCTCACCCCCAATGAACATGTACAATTTAAAGTTATTTTACTGAACAGATTTGGGGAAAATGTTAGCAAAAGGTAGCTCAATTTACATTAATGTAAGGGTAGGTGCACACAATTACGTGTAGAACAACAGTGTATGGTAATTTTTCCTGAAGGACATCTCGAGCAGCAGAAAAGAGAGGCGGGCAGGGTTTGTTCCACAGGTTGATCAACCCCAATCCTAATGTGCACGGCTCAGCATGAGGAAGGCTCATTTGCTCCCCTGGCTCCTGTTAAGGAACCACCGGGGCTTATCTGAAAAGACCTTTGGATATCATTTGAAATACATCGAATGTATGCACAGAACAACATACAATGTGCCATATTTGCATAATACAGATGAGCTAAGGCACGTTCAAGTCTGTAGCCGTACTTTTGTCACATTAGCTTCCCGCCTATTTTCCTTATTCCTCATTCTTCCTTTTTGCATAACAACATTTGCAGAGATGGCTTAGTTTCTCCTCATGCTCCGCTGGAAACAAAGTAAACTGCACAAAGAGCACAAGATTAATCAAGAGTTTTAGTGAGAGAAAACTCAGAAACTAACCCTCAACAAATATTCGACCCATCCACTTCATTTGAGATATTACATGGATGAGAGGCTCTGATCAAATCAAGACAACACAATCACTTCCTGTTTACTATAGGCGATAAACACAAGCTACTCTGTTAAAATGTTGGCACAATAACGGATAAAATCCACTATTTGATGTACTGTCTCCCCTGGCGTACTTCAGGGCTATGTCCTTGGCCCGCACCTGTTCTCCCTTTAACAATCTCTCTTTACTCAGTCATGACACCTCACATTTTTAGACCACTGCAAAGCAGACAGCACTGGACTTCCCCTTCTTCTTTTCTGACATAACGACAGGTTCATGACCGGATGACCTCTCCAAGTGCATGTTGTGTCATCACTGCAAGATGAATATGGTTGCTTTTTTGTCACTGGAAAACACTCTACGAGATCTCTTATAGTTGCCACATTTGTCAAAAAAAAACCTTGATGTGACTGTTGTCAAGCAAACTGCCTCACAATCACCCATCATTCTGATTTGCTTTAAGGACCTTCCAAGCCATCTTGGAAGGTCCTGGTCCTACTTGTTCATTTCTAGTCACTATATGTGGTTGTGGAGCTCCAACAAAAGGAACAATTTACAGTTTTTCCATGGAAGTCATTGAGCCTCCCTCAACAGGCTTCCCCCTCTTCGCAGGTGTTCACCTCACACACACACACACACACACATACACATACACATACACATACACACACATACACACACACACACACACACACACACACACACACACACACACACTTTGTGTCCCCCCCTCAGGCTATCCTCTATCAGCAAGGACAAAACAACTACTTTTTATTCCCCTTAACTTTACAACATTTGCATGAAACCTCAAATTAAAGTCTATGGAACTGTTTTGACATCAAACCTTGTTGCTAAAGCTTCATCATCACATACAAAGCTTGAAGGTGATGTAGAGTTTCTCACGGTTGACTGAACAAGGTGAATGTCTCCTGCACCGTATCTAGGACTAAATGTCCTCTCTAGAGACAAGCAATTTAAAAAAAATTGTGCCCATCTAAGATGGGTTTTTCATGAGAGATAAAGCAGTGTTTGATGGCAACCTGCCTATGGAGCTCAACACAACACCAGCAGAGTGAACCATGTGCTGGACTGATGTGGATTTGTGGATTCGGCCTCAATGCTAACAGCTAACAGAGCTACCGTACACACTCTCTGCAACTCAGCCGCTGCTACGCGGGTAGACAGCTTGGCGAGTTTGATTTGGCTAGTTTGTATGAAGTGTATCATACAACGACTTCTAGGCGATTGCTTGCATACGTTGCCTTTAGTTTTTGAATTAGAATGAAGTGTTTTTAAGAAGCTTTAGAACGCGTTGGTTGCGTACATCACTGGTTGTAAGATGGCTCACTTTCTTGGTTTTGGAAGGTGTGTTTGGCTAACAGCTAACGTAATCAGTACACACACTGCTGTAATCTGCAACTCAGCTGCTGTGAAGCGGGTACACAGCTTTATTTGGTTTTTGGCAAGATTGCATAAAATGTGTTAAGAAATTAAAAGCTGTAGAAATGCCTACAAAATCTGTATTTAATTGGAAATGATCTCATTTTATGATGCTGTTTGTGTGCAGGAAGCTGCATAATATGTGATCTGTGATGCACCTGCAGAAGCTTGTATTTTGTGACGGAGGTAACAGAGACTCTACTGGATCACGCCTGTATTTGATAGCGGTACACTACAGAACATGTGTTCTTATGACAAATGAGGGCAATTAAAAGGGAAGAAGGGTTAAAACATGTTAATATTACAAGCTACAGACATGAAGAGAATGGGGCTCTCAGAAACCTACCATTATTGTTCCTCCAGTCTGTGTCCGCAAAGGCCTCAACACTTTCCGCTGCACCAGGAAATTAGGCAGAAACATCAGAGGTGGGATTTCTGTGATCGTTGCCACCTTCAGAGACCACTGAAAGAGAACACAATAAACACAGTATATACATAGACCTTCTATCTGTGCTATGACTCTATCCATTGTCAGGGAAACAAAAAACCACACATGGACCTCGTTGACGGAAAAGCACAGAAAGCCCAACAGAGGGTTTCAATGTGAGCCCACCAGGGTTTGGATATAAAAGGTGTACCCGAGCTGACTAAAGGAATGCACGACAATGCTGCCGGTGGGCTTAGTCTTGAGCCGCGACTCTCACATGAAAACAGGATAGCACAGAGGAATGCTAATTCACAACACAGTACACAACAGGTCCCTCTCTTGAGCCCTCCAAGATGTACCAAGATACCTTTCCCTCTCCTTTACAACACTGACTGGATGGTGAATGGTGATTACATGCTTAAGAAAACATACTAAGTAGTATTATATTTCATTTCTACCAATAGATGGCCCTAAATGCTACACACTGTTCCTTTAAAAGTGGGACGGTTCTTGTTGACCCAGAGAGGTACTGGTCTGAATATGCTCGACATGATTGATTTGAATGAGGACCAACTCCCTTTTGGGAGAGTCCAGTGCATTTCAATGAGAACTCTCTGCTCTGTTGCAACGTGAGAGGAAAAAAAGTAAAATAGAGAAAATCCCAGACAACAAACTCTTTGAATCACATTGATGCCAGTATTACATGGGAACATACAGCAACATGTCATCGTAATAACTAATGAAGCTCTTCAGTTGTACTGAGCGATGCATGCAATACAGGAGGAGATGAGCTGTAGTGAACACGCCATGCTGTCGTAATGAGAGGTGCACTGAAGGTTGGCAGTGTTGAGGGGAAACAAACCTTTAATCTGTTGAGGTAGCGTTTGGTGTGAACCACCAGCAGATCCTCTTCAGTCGCTTCACGCGCTTCCACCATGTTCCCATCGGTGACCAGCTGCTCCTCTGAGACAAAAAGGCATCGTTTGATTAGGAGTCACATAGATCGAGCAGGAGTTTTTTTTACAACTTTTGCGCAAAACTATTTTCACAAGGCTAATGTGGGAGGAAGCCGAGGGACCCGGAGAAAACCCACGGCAACCCGGGGAGAACATGCACACCGCACACAGACAAAGGCTACGTTCACACTGCAGGCAAAAAGTAATGCAAAGTACAACTGTTTTTTGCACATATGTGACAGAGTTTTTACCATTACAGTGTGAACAGCACAAATCACATGGAATCTGATCTTTTTTTAGACTTTTCGATTTGCGAAATAGGTCCGATTGTTCTCAATGCGACCTCTGAAGTCATTTTAGAATGAATGCCGCTTTTACGTCACTCTAGCTCGACTTTCGTTACAATTCTACGCTGCGAAGACATTGGCGTCACGTTCCCACCACTCGTGACTCTTATTCCACATAAACACACAACTCGGTAACACAAAGCGCCACAAAGCACCATCATTAAAAATGTGTCTCTCTTGTTGTCATCTGCTCAAGAATTCGCTGGCTTCCACTAAACATCAACTTATGAATGAATGAATGAATGAACGGGACCAGTTCACACTGGGATCTGGTATTTGCACATTCATAAAATAATCTAGAAGATCTGATCGGAGCAATAAATCTTTATTAAAACTTGCAGCCAAGGATATGTTTAAGGTAATTTGTCAGTCATTTACTTATTTTCTTCACTATAATTGCTTTTATATTTTTCTGTATTATTTATTGAAGTAGTTATTGAACTTACTCACCAACATTATCATTTATTTATTTCTCTCTCCTCCTCGCACATCCCTCTGGTCACACTTTTTCATATATACATATATGACAGATGGCAGATGGACTGTACTTACACTAACTGTACGTAAGGTGCCACCTGCTGATCAGGACTATCTAACGTTCACACACTGTAGACACAGCTACGGGGTTTGGGGTTAGGTGTCTTGCCCAAGGACACATCGGCATGGACTAGCTTAGCTGGGGATCGAACCGTCGATCCACTAATTGAAGGAGGACCCTGCTCTACCACTGAGCCACAGTCGCCCATACAGGACACACTTACATGTACAACACTCCCACAAACAGAAATCGGATCCACATTCAAATCATAACGTTGGTTTCACACGTCTCGTGTTGATGTCTGTATATTTTGTCACAGGTTTTTTCTTTCTAATATATAAGCTGTACATCACAATGACAATCTTATTTCCATTACATACTCTCTCCACCAGGGCGCACTGAAACGTAGAACTGAACTGTCCTGCCAAGACATTCAGGAATCCTTAAAAAATACATTTAAAAAAAACATAAATGGGCCAATATATCAAACGCGTCGGATTTGTTTTATTAGTCGAGCAACAACCATATATGAAAGCAGACCCAGCACTGACTATACATTAGTCCTAGCAATAGGGCTGGGTGACAGATCAATATAATTACATATACACTATTTACATATTTGTGTAATAACAAATTGAAATCATTTGATATAAATCTTTACGTCTAAATGAATGACAACAGGTTTAATAACACCACACTCTGTCACAACCTCACTGCAAACATTAATTCAGAGCATTTTACTTTTGACCTTTTCTGTCGATTAAAATACAAACCAGTCGGATCAAAGTGATGAACATGGTGCAATAACTTAACTACACTGACAACTCACTGCAGTAACGTTGAGTTTTACAAGATGCAGATAGAGCAGTCTACGCTCAGCATACACTGCACATACTCCACAGCAACATAATTGTTAACATTATTATAATGCTACAAAGGGTATGGTTTCCTTTTTTACGTTTTTAGCGTCACAAAATAGTACATTTTTGCTATATTTAGCTTATTATTTACTAACTTTAGTTGCTGCATTGTGGAACTATTTGGTGTATTCTTGGACTTTCCACCGGAACACAGAGCTGTTGTTGTTACATGCTACACATGTAAAGAAAGAAAATCCACTCCCTGCCTTTGAATGTAACACAGTCTGCTCATTAAAGTTTCTTGCTGTGATTTTCTAACCTTGTCTGGTCTCATCTGCTAACATCTTTCTCTCCTTTCAAGCACTTCCTGTAGCAAAGTCAATCTACAGTGCAAATTGAGGGTACCGTTTTTATGAAGTCGTACCGGTTACCCCGGCGACTGTTTTCCCCTCGGCCCTGAATCCTGAACCCTGTGCTGGGCCTCATCTATCTATACTGGAGACGGACACACTCTCCCACAGGGAGCTTGCTCTAATTATCTGCACTCGATTGCTCTGCCTTTCCCCTTCTCTAGCAACTACATCTCACCTCTCCACTCTCTCTCTGCTTTGTTCTCTACCTCTTATGATTCACTCCGAGAGATTCCCATATGTATGCATCAGCCTGGGGGGGGACGTTCCCGCTATCTGCCGCTCTGTCTCTTGTTTTCTTACCTTTCAAAAAGTGAATGACTTTCCCCCACTTCCCTGCATCAAACGGATGGAGCTTCTCAAGGCCCATGAAGGTCATGTTGTAGTCTGGGTGGTACACGATGGGCAGACATGTTCGAGGGATGCTGGCGTACAATTCAGTGTGGTGGGAGCTGAAAGTACAATGTCAAAATAAATAGATAAAAAAAGCACTGCTGCATTCTACATGGAGCTATTTCCCCTTTGGCTTAATAAGCATTCTTGGAACGGTCATGTTTGTGTGTGTGTGCTGCTCACCTCCCCGTCCCTTCATTATCTGCTTTGTGAGCCATGTTTCTCAGGCATTGCTACTTTCATCTGGAGGGGAAAGTAAGAAGATTACAAACGGATAATGAAAGTCATTCACATGCAACTACTGTAAATATTTACCACAGCTCTCAAGACATTCAGGATTCTGTTTGAAAATAAGATTTAATTTAGCAACTAGTTTGTAGAAATTGCATTATATAACAACGTCACTGCGCAAGCAAGAATAAGGGACAGTAGCCTACACTATTATGAATCAAGGGTCCAATTCTTCGCGCATGCGCAATGGTATGTGTACGTTTTCACAGACGCAACTGCACACGGAAGGGCGAGAACCGACAAACACACAGCCTCCGAACGTGTTTGTTATGACATTTCAGCGTCACAGATAAAAGCGTCACCACGGCTAATGTATAAAACGGGCCGGAACTGTTTTAGAGGACAGAAACTATCCACAACCGATGTGTCTCACCTGTCACTGTGTGCGGAGTATCGCAGGTCACCGAGCAGCTGTAGGACATTAATGTAATGAATAGAGACCGTCAATGTTTGTCCTCCCCGACAGGCTAAAAGCTCGGCTTGTTTGTCGTTAGCAAGCTAACAGAAAGAAAACGTTTTTTCTCTACTGTTTTCAGTATCTCTCAGCTGCTCCGCTGCTACGTAGGAGACGTACGTAGAATGCGCGCGAGCTCCGTCCCTTTACGCCGCCACCGCACACGCGCATTTAAAACAGAAGATGCTGCGGTCGAAAAATTACCTCCTAACAACTTTTCCTTGACCTCGCTGGAAAACGTCATGGAATCAAGGAAAGATGTGAAGGAGAATGAGGAGTTAGAGAATCCAACCTCACTTTCACTAAACTACGTAATTATGAAGCGATGGCGGATGTCACTGACGTAGATCTGCCAATGAAACTACAAAAAGCGCAACTATGCACCTATTGTTCTAAAGAGAGACACCGGAGCTCCTTCTTCCTGCTGCTGTCACACTTAACAATCAACATGCTTCAGCAGAAACTGATGATTCTCTTGTGCAATATCAATTGCTGTTCAATAACAATATTTACTTTCTGCAACAATGTAGATTAAACTGGTCGGTTAAGTAGCTTTAATAATCTATTATAGGCCTAGCTTGTTATTTATAATGATGCTTCTCTGTTATTGTCATTCTTTGCTGTTTAACAGATATTTAATCGTGACTCGTCTTGAAGAGGATCGATTCATAACATTGGTACGGTCTCATTACCCTAATTGGGTACCTATTGGCCGTATTAAAGATCAGATTATTGAGAACGAGAATTTGTTTATTTACAGTTTGCTATATTCACTTTTCTTTTTTTGTAACCTCCGTTGGCAGTTGCGCCGCCTATTGTTTTTGGTAGTTTGATCGATTTTTTTGACACCACTCTCATTCTGTGAAGCCCCCTCTTCTGCATCTGATTGGCTAATACTACTTGTAATATATATTTGTTAAGTTTGTTGCTGATGAACAAGGTTGGTGGATGGTAGGTATAAGGTTAATGACTTCAAGCAGCCTTCTTGTATCGTGCTCTCATATATAATGAAAATATCTGGATTATGATAGATTTTTTTCTTATAGATGGAATAAAATTACCAATCCGTAGGAAATTGAACTTTTGACGTGTTGTCATAATTTAATGTTAACATGAATGTTGATTTGGCACACCGAAGAAAGAAAGAACATTACATTTATGAATGGTCATGAATTTTGCTTCAGACTAAATGTCCCCCTCCGGTTCTATGAAATCACCTGACTTTTTATAGGTTGCTTTGTGGGCTAACTTTCACGAGACATTCAGACAATACCAATTAGAACGTGGACACGTCCAACGAGAGAGTCGATAAGATGAGAGTCATCACTGTACATCTGTACGAGCCCACACCGTCCTGACAAGAGGTCGACGGTAATCAACGGAAATACGGAACACCTGTGTGGGAGGATAATGTGTGCGAAGGCTTCAACTTTTCTGCGCATTTGCGTTTTCATTTCTCAAACTGATAAGCGAGTTATACTTTATGAACTAAGCACGCAGCGCTGTAGCAGAGTTCAGCTTCTGATTGAAACAAAAACACAAAAAATGAGTCACAGCAAGCAGCTGTGCGGATAAAATATGGTGGCTCCTACTTGCAACACGATGAGCAGCTTTCACTTTTCAGTCAGTGTCACTGGTTGATTATGCATGTGTGCTCAAACAGAATTACAATTGCTAAACACAAGAATGAATGGTCTCTAACACATGCTCAAAATGAGCCACTTTAGCCACTAACGCTCTCCCATAATCATCATGATAAATGACTGAAAAACAATTATGCTAACAAGCTCTTCAGTAATGCTACTCAGTGGATTAATTAGTGCATATTTGAGTAATGTCATACTTCACACATAACACATGGGTGGCATTAATAGGAACTTTGGAGGTTATTAAGTAGGAGCTCCAAAAAAGTAGTCAGGGGCGAAGAATGTGTGGCGTCATCGTGGACTGTTATTCTATTCCAAGAATGTTTCCACCCACAGACACAAAGAACCCGTCATCATAACATAACGTCAACATAACCGGCTCCGCTAGTCCATGACGATGTGTCCTTGGGCAAGACACTTAACCCCAAATTGCTCCCTCAGGCTGTTCCTGCGGTGTATGAAGAGGTATGAATGTTAGTTAGAGTCCTGATGGCCAGGTGGCACCTTTCATGACACCATCAGTGTATGACTGGTTGTGAATGGCTGAATAATGGCATGTAGTGTTAAAGCGATTTGACTGTTCGGAAGACTAGAAAAGCGTGATACAAGTCAGTTTACCATTTCTACCATTTTATTCCATGCATAGCATGTGCTGTGATGGTGGGACAAAGACACTTTGCTGTAAGCTTCATTTAACATGATGCCCCGGCTGTATGCCTGACCCTAATGATATCTCAGCTATTAGCTATAGCTCTCCTTTGGTGGCAATGTCACTCTCAACATCTGATGGATTGCCATAGAATTTTTTGGCGCCATTCATGGTCCCCAGAGGATGTTTCCTGCTGACTTGGTTGATATTTGTGTTTGGGTGGATTGTCTCAACAAGTATCTCCATGAGATTTGTTACCGGTCGTTGACTTTATATAAACAGTGGACGTAGTTGCCGCGACGTCACCCATTGGTTTGTGGACTGAGGTTGTCGCCATCTTGGACTTTGGCCGTCACCATCTTGGTTTTTGCAACCAGTGAATGGAAATGACCATATTTGGACTCCGGAGAAGTGACGTAGAGATGATGTATACAGCTCTGGTAGCAACCTGTCAATTACAAGGTAGCCATGCCCTAAAGCATACTCTGCTTTATGGTCTGTTTGACTCTAAATGGACCATAATCTACTAAATGAACATCATGCTGTATTGAAGAAGACTTGAAACTAGAGATTGAGACCATAAACTCATGTTTACAAGGTTTACTGTGTATCTTTACACATAGGAGGACAGACAGGCGAGTGATGGTTCCTGGTACACATGGGAAAACAGATAAGTAATATGAAACACGAAGACACAAAAAACACGAGCAATACATAAATCCTGAGTTGGCCTTGAAGTGCTACCGGTGGGGTTGAGACAGCAATCTGGCGAGGAATGGTTGAAGAGCCGAGGGTAGATATGCTGCAAGCTGATGAGCTGGTAAGCGGCAGGTGAGCTGACTGGAAGAGGTGATGAGCTGATTGCAGACAGGTGCGTGTAATTAGCACAGCCGGGAGAACGAGAAAGGGAGACCACTGCAATTGAATTGAACTCATCTTAAGTATTATAAGTTGTCATGAACACTGTAATGCTCATCTGACAGAGATCATCAAATACAGCTGTATTATAACACAATGGACAGATGATGCAGCTGTGTCACTCGTCATATTCAATTGCCTTTGACGTCTGATAGCATCTCTCATGGGCAGGACTAAGACACGAGGAGAGAAGTCGAGGAGGCGAGGAAAGCAATTGAGGACACATGTTAGCAGATTGAAAAGCACCCACCAAACATAAACAGAGAGAGAGAGACAGACAAGGGAGCACTGGGAAACGGGAGGCACGAGGGGCCTTTCCCAAGTTTGCACGTCCTCGATTCCTTTCCTTTGCCTCCTCTCCTTGCGTCTTAGTCCCTCCCACCTGAGATGCAGGTGGAGGAGGCGAGGAGGACACAACAGGCATTTAACCAAACGAGACATCCTTGCCTCGGAGCCGTCATATTAAATCTACGTCTGTTAAATATAACGTGCGGCACAGCTGCACCAGCTGTTATACCGCTGTATTTCATCATCTCTGACAGTAAAAACTTTCAACTCAATTCACAAAGTGGCATGATGTGACAAGAATGTTCGGATGTCATATTTATATGTGCAGCACTAAAGAGTGACATGTATTATATATATGATTGATTTGATATATATCAAATGCACTCTTGTCCTCTATATCACAACATGAAATATGACAAATTAGTGAGGAATGCGGTTAGAAAAGAGCCTACGCGAAGGGCATAAAGTTTGATCATCTTAAATAACGACAACTTGTGTATACAGTTACATTTTAGAGTCCTGCCATGGTTTGAGATTATTCCAGCTGTGCGTCAGGTCTCTTTCAAATGTCACCAGTGCCGAAAAGACTTCCGCAAAGGAGGCAGAAAACAATTGAGAAATGAAAAGAGCCCAAGGAAGCACTCGGGAAACTTCTGGGGATCTGGCCGTGACCTGAACAGCAAATGTTAGCTGCTTACATTTATGTCTTTCTGTGGACTGATTTTGTCCCAACCGAGTAAGATGCAGACACGAAATGTGTAGCTGAGATCAAAATGAAGGTTGAGTTCGAAGATGGCCGTGGTCCCAGCAAAGGAGTCCAAGAAAGCCATTGGTCCCCAATGTTATACCTGCACTTTAGGCCCATGACTGGACGATTAGGATCCCTGAAACCTTACAGGTAGTTGATGTCAGAAGGCTAGGTTCAAAGAGAGGTGTGGTCCGAGCAAGGTTGGTAGGAAGTGGAAAAGGGGACATTGCCCCCCCCCCACTTCACGTTGTTGGTCTAATTTGGTGTCACGGCCAGAGTCATCGCATTGCAAGATGCCATTTAGTTTAGAGCAGGCGGGGGCAATTCTTTTTCCCAAAGGGCCACATGAGAAACAGGGACTGTTGTGGAGGGCCGGTCCAATAGACTGAACTCAATCCTGCTCAATATTATTCCACCTCTTTATAAAAAACAGTAAATTGTATGTTTTTTATAAGCTGCGAATGGTAAGAGTAAATACTATGATCAGTGGTGGAATGTAACTAAGTATATTTGCTTAAGTACTGTACTTATGTACAAATTCATGGTACTTTACTTGAGTATTTCTATTTTATTCAACTTTGTACTTCCACTCCACTACATTGCAGAGGGAAATATTGTACTTTGCACGTTATCATTTTTCAAACCCGTCCGAACTACCCAAACTGAACAACAGTGTAAAATAAGTTCAAATGAGCTCCACCTGAAACATCTGCAGCAGGAATAATGATCCAAACACTCTGTATCAGTCTTTCATTTTTTAACATAGGCTGACAGCTGACTCACATCTCCCGTAAGCTCAGTTCACCAGAACATTGCAGTGACGCTGCTGCTCACACACATTCACAAACGTTCTAACGTACGTACATTGAGAACAAAAGAAACAGCAACAGTC